AAGGCGGTGGTGCCAGAGGAGAGTCTGGTGAGACAGGAGGCGACACGAGCAGGGGGCAGACTCAGGACCTGACCGGGACGCTGCAGCAAACACCTGACCCGATGCAGCTACCTGACCAGACTCAGCAACCGGAGGAGACACGGTAGTCAGAGTGTACAGACTCGACCCAGGCTGACGGGAGAACGTGGCCAGGTGCCGGCCCGTCCGAGTACACGAACAGTGGGTCACCCGCTGACCTCCAGGAGTGAACTGGTCAACCCACGCATCCTGAAGGTCAGCTCCACTCACCAAGTTCGTGGAGAACGAGGGGAGGTGGAGGCCAGACAGAGAGCCAGACGGGACTGCCGGACACGGCAGAACCGTGGACGAGTGTGCAAGGACCGGACCCCCAGAGGGGTCAGCAAGAGAGACTGCCACTGGCCGACTGAGCGGCGAGAGTGTGGTGCAGTCGCGAAAGAAGGAGCGGGAAGCACCCGAGTCAAGGGTGAAAGTGTGCAAGGCCGCAGCAGGCACAGTACCAGAGAGAGCAGACGCACCAGCACCTGGAGCAGTGGACTCACTAGCGCCTAGAGCAGCAGCCTCACCGGCACCTGGAGTAGGAGACGCACCAGCACCTAGAGCAGCAGCCTCACCAGCACCTAGAGCAGCAGACTCTATACCTGGGTCAGGCGGCACACACAGGTAATAGGCACCCTCAGCACTAGTAGGCAATGCATACATGGCAGTAAGGATAGCATCATAGTCAAGAGCAAAGATATCTACCCTCTGCCTAAGCAGCTCCAGCCAGGAGGGGAGCTCAGCGTCGTCGCCAAACTCTGTACGCCAGGCGTCGCTCAGACTGGCGAAGCAGCGGGACTGTGTGTGACCAACTGTCCCGTAAGGCTGACCAGCCCGAGCACCAGTGCGAATGACGTACGGGCAGCGAGCAGTACTCTGTGACCCTCTACTTTGAGCGTACCACTCACGAAGCTGCTAGGGCGAAAGGACCGCGTGCGGACGCTGCTGCAGCTGCACCTGGTCACTACAAGAAGCTCCCGAACGACCCGCCTCAGGGGACTCCCACCACGGCCACCCCTACAACCCCAACTAGCGTACCACTCACGAAGCTGCTGGGGCGTGAGGGACTCACGCGGACGTCGCTGGAGCTGCATCTGGCCACCGCCAGGAGCAGCAGTAGCAGTAGTAGCCGCAGTAGCAGCAGTAACAGCAGTTGCAGCAGTGGCAGCAGTAGCAGGAGTAGCAGCAGTAGTAGCAGTAACAGCAGTAGCAGCAGTAGCAGCAGTAGCAGCGCGGCCACCCCTACAACCCCAACTAGTGCACCACTCACGAAGCTGCTGGGGCGTGAGGGACTCACGCGGACATCGCTGGAGCTAAATCTGGCCACTGCCAGGAGTAGCAGTAGCAATAGTAGCAGTAGCAGCAGCAGTAGCAGCAGAAACAGTAGTAGCAGCACGGGCAGGGCCGTGTGGCTCAGTAGAGCAGGGCTGCACAGCCCGGCAGCACGACACGGCTCGGCTGGGCGGCTCGGCGCCGCAAGGCGGCTCGGCTCAGCTGGGCGGCGCGGCTCGGCTGGCAGGCAGGCGCGGCAGGCAGGCAGGCAGGCCAGCGCGGCAGCGCGCTAGTAAGGCAGGCGCGCGGGAAGCACGGATAGGGCAAGTGCTCACCAGTGGCGGAAAGGGCAGTCGCTCGCCGGTCGAGCAGGGTAGGCGCACGACGGCAGCGACGGCGGGGCCGGGACAGCTGCAGGGCGGGGCCGCAACAGCGGCAAGGGGCTCCGCGGCAGCTGCTGCAGGGCAGGGCCGCGACTGCTGCAGGCGGCTCCGCGGCAGCTGCAGCAGGTCGGGGCCGCGACGGCGGCAGGGGGCTCCGCGGCAGCTGCTGGAGGGCGGGGCTGCGACTGCTGCAGGCGGCTCCGCGGCAGCTGCTGTAGGGCGGGGCCGCGACGGCGGCAGGGGGCTCCGCGGCAGCTACTGCAGGGCGGGGCTCCGAGGCAGCTACTGCAGGGGGCGCCGCGACGAGCAGGGGCGACGCCCCGGGGGCGCCGCGACGAGCAGGGACGGCGCCCAGGGGGCGCCGCGACGAGCAGGGGCGACGCCCCGGGGGCGCCGCGACAAGCAGGGACGGCGCCCAGGGGGCGCCGCGACGAGCAGGGGCGACGCCCCGGGGGCGCCGCGACGAGCAGGGAAGGCGCCCCGAGGGCGCCGCGACGAGCAGGGAAGGCGCCCAGGGGGCGCCGTGACGAGCAGGGGCGACGCCCGGGGGCGCCGCGACGAGCAGGAACCGCGCCCAGGGGGCGCCGCGACGAGCAGGGGCGACGCCCCGGGGGCGTCACGACGAGCAGGGACGGCGCCAAGGGGGGCGCCGCGACGAGCAGGGGCGACGCCCCGGGGGCGTCGCAACGAGCAGGGTCGGCGCCCAGGGGGGGCCGCGACGAGCAGGGGCGACGCCCCGGGGGCGCCGCGACGAGCAGGGACGGCGCCCAGGGGGCGCCGCGACGAGCAGGGGGGGGACGCCGCGCAGGTCCCGCAGGGGCGTCGCGATGAGCAGGGTTTAGGGCGGCTCGCGGGCTGCAGAGGCAGCTCCCACGGGTTGCAGAGGCAGGCACGGCTGCAGAGGCAGCTCCCACGGGATGCAGAGGCAGGCACGGCTGAAGAGGCAGCGCCCACGGGCTGCAGGGGCAGGCACGGCTGCAGAGGCAGCGCCCACGGGCTGCAGGGGCAGGCACAACTGCTCGGGAGGGCGGCGCGCGGGCTGCAGAGGCAGCTCCCACGGGCTACAGAGGCAGGCACGGCTGCAGGGGCAGGCACGGCTGCAGGGGCAGGCACGGCTGCAGGGGCAGGCACTGCTGCAGGGGCAGCACGGTTGCAGGGGCAGCACGCGGGCTGCAAGGGCAGCGCGGCTGCAGGGGCAGCTAAAAAAAAAAATCAGTTAGGGCAGGGCGGAACGTTCGGTGGGCCCTAGGAACGATTCTGCTCTAATACCATGTGAGAATAAGAACGAGGAATGAATGAACTAGCAAGCAGGTGGGTACAAGTATGAAAACCTAAAAGAGTTGTACCCCATATTGTCTACCCCACTGCAGCCTACAATACAGTTCTGACAAATAGGTGAAAAACTTACTGAGTAATTGAAGAGTTGAATGAGAATTGGTTGAGAGTGGATTGATATTGGCTAGAACAAGAGAGGTTTATATAGCGAACAAAAGAGAATGTTGGAAAGTGGTTTATGGGACTAGGAATTGGAAAGCTAAAAGAGTAGAGTGTCACGTGGCACAAGGGATTGGATGAAGATAAGGTTGGGATTAGGTTGGGGGACTGTTTAGGATAAAATACCCTTGAACAGTAAAGTACCCCGTAACATAGCGCGACACAGACCAAATCCATGGAGAGAATTACTATAGAACCCTGTTCGGTGATTCGTCCTTACTCGCGTGGCCTCGAATGACTCGACTGGCTATCAAATTTGGTGATAATTGCTCGAGTGGCCACGCCAAGGGATTCCCTCTGTTTTTTTTTACCTGGCACATTACCCTACAAGGGTTTGTATCCTTGAAAATTTTGTATAAATTATTGCGCGATTTTCATTATCGGAAATTTATGTTCGTGACATTATATGACCGCGCATGATTGGACGCGCATTGCCAAAAAAGACACCGCGCATAGAATCGACCAATCATGCGCGGTCATTAAATCCCGCGCATTGATGCCCGGGCATTGCAGTTTATGATCGCGGAAATATATGATTGGGCATTAATATATGATGCTCGCGACCATTAATGGCCACGCATGATTGGTCGATTATATGCACGTCCAGTCAGGCGCGGTCATATTGGGTCACGAACATAAAATTCGGATATAAATGATCGTGCAATAACCAGGACAAACATCGGGGCTACAAGCCCCCGTAGGGTAATGCGCCGAGAAAAACAAATCCAGCGGGATCCTCTGGCGTGGCCACTCGAGCAATTATCACCAAATTTGATGGCCACTCGAGTAATTCGAGGCCACGCGAGTAAGAATGAATCACCGAACAGGGTTCTACAGTAGTTCTCTCAAATCCATGCCTGCACACAAGCACGTTGAATGCTACGAAGCGATTTGTTATGAAGCCCTGTGAGGCTCGGCTAGATGGCTGAAGCCACACAAACCCGTGCCGTACCTCGTCCAAAACAGGTCTGGATGAAGTTCGAGGCTCGGATTATAAACATTATCAGTTGATTGCGTCTGCATGGCCAATCAAGCCGCGGACCTCGCACGGCGGGGTTCCGAAGCACGTCGATTCGATCGAGATATGGCAGGGAGGAGAGGAGAGGTGAGGGGAAGAGAGATGCGGAGTGTGCCACAAGCAGCAATCCCAACCCATGCCACGCCAAAGCGGTAACTTCTAGGGTGTACGGCTTTACCCTCTCACCGCCTTCCTCGCTCGACCTCGATTTCTCCTTCCTCGATTTGTCTGCCCGTATGGACCGCCGCTACTTGCTGGGAATGCACTCACCTACCGCACAGAAAGGAGTTCAGGGTGCGCTGACATGATAATAGTAGGGTTGACTCCAGCCAACTAGCTTCCTTTCATGTTAGCTAGTCCTTTGTTCCGCAGTGAAATTATGGACGGGCACATTATTGTCTGCATCTCAGCTTGTCCGTGTGCTCTGAGCCTGTCAGTTTCACCACTGTTATTATTAATGTGTTAGTGCATTGCGCTCTCTCCTTCGCCACGTGTATTTAAATATTATAATTCCTCCTATAACTCTCCTAATAAATTCAGTAGTTTGCAGTCGTTCTAAATGCATACCTTTCGCTTCCTGTAGGTCTGGGGCCTCAGCATGTGCAATAGAGCGACGCCGAAGCTCTCAGCCCGTCGTTTGTCAACTACTGAGATTCCCACACGCATCACCAGCAGCATCATCGGCAGCAGTACCATCTATAGCGCACGCCGCTTCGTCCGCGTTATAGAGTGTCTAGTAATCGCGCGTCAGCTCATCATACCGTGAGAAATCCCGCATGGCCTCGACAGGTCAGGGCGCTCCTCCGGGGCCTTCCGGCGGACAGTCGAGACCAGCGCCGCGCAAGCCCGCACCCGATGGCGCTGGGGGGACAGGTACGGCGCGGAAGCATAGCGGAAGCGTCGGCGGCGGCGGTGGTGGCGCGGGTGGAGCTATCAACCGACAGCATTCCGCTAGGTCGACAGTTTCCAGTGAGGAATCGGAGGGCGGAGAAGGCTCCACAGTCAGATCAACGGCTGGGGACGGTGGCGGTGCGGCAGGGGTTAAGTCAGACAATGCTTCCGAGCCGCCCACTCCTAGCGGGAGTAGCAAAGGTGGCGGGGAGAGTAAAAAGCCTAAGACTTTCACGAGAATGCTGTCTAAAAAGGGTGGTAGTTCAAGCGGCATCGGCACGGCGACGAACGCCAGTGGTGGTAGCAGCAGTGGGCGACACAGAAGCGGATCAGGAATCCCCTCCGGAGCACCTCACCCACACCCACCAGCAGGTGCTGCAGCAGCAGCAGGAGCAGTAGCGACGGCGGCGGCATCGACAGCATCGGCGGAAGCGGCGGCGGCGGCGGGTTACAGCAGCGACGCGTCGGTAGCCAGCAAGTCGTCCGGAAGATCAGGGGCGGTGAAGAGATCAGCGGCTGTGAGCATGGTGCGGCGATCGACGGGCGTGATGCTGGTGATGGACCCATGGACGGCTAAGATCTTGCACGTGAGCGAGGGGGGAATCACGGCGCTTGGATACAGCAAGGCGGAGCTGAGGGAGCGAACGATCTGCGACCTGGCGGATGGGCTCACGCTCGTGGAATGGTCTAAGGCCATTGGCGGACTCGCCAGTCAGGAGGCGAGAAGAGTGGTGCTAAGGTAAGTGCTGACTTGAACGCCGGCCCTCTTTTTCAGCCAGTTTCATATGTTACAATGTACGGAATTGATGTTTCTCGATTGTTCGGTGGCGTAGACTAGTGCCCGTGTGCTCCATCCGCGAATCAGGGCCCTCACCCAGCTTTATTCTCTTAGAACAGGAAGGCTGGTGGAATGGAAATTTCCAACAGTATTCTGAGAGGCCCTCTATTCTTGCCAGCTTCATCTTTCCCCTTCATTACTGCAGGAGCCTTGTCGTCGAAAAATCCTGTCTCTTAGGCCCCTATATTGTATCCCGTCCCACCTCTTCCCCCATCCTCACCCTCCTCTCGCGCAGGTTCCGTCTGTGCAAGACAACGGACCGCAAGGCTGCTTTGTTAGGGCAGAAGGTAGACCTGGAGTTGCAGCTGCATGGCGCAGGCGAGAACAAAGACCTTGTGGGTACCATGACGCTCGCTAACCCGGACCTTACTTCTTCCCGGCACGCTGGCAGCAGCAGTAGTTCCTCTCACCACCACCAGCACAAGGAGAAAGGGGCTTCCGGTGGTGCAGGGAAGGAGGGTTCCGCTGCCGCCGCTGCTGCTGCTGGTGCTTCAGGTGCAGCTGCGGCTGGTGCCGCGGCTGGCAGTGCCGCTGGGGGAAAAGAGGGAGGAGCGAAAGGGGCGACGAGTGGCGATGCTGGTGCATCTGGTGGTGCATCTGCTGCTGGTGGGACAGGCTTAGCAGGCAAGGCCAGACGACCGGGGGGTGATAGGCCCGGCAGCGCCACAGTCAATAGGAGTGGGAGTGTTAGCGGTGGTGGTGGTGGTGCTGCTGCTGCTGCGTCGCCGTCCCAGCAGAGGAGAGAGAGAGTGCCAGGGAGGGATAAACCGGATGGAGCTGCGAGCAGGGCTGCTGCTGATGGTAGTGGCAGCAGTGGGTCTAGCAGCACCGCTGCAGCTGCGACGACAGCTGGGGCAGCTTCTGGAGTAGGGGATGGCAAAGAGAAAGAGAAAGATGCGGCGAGAGTGAACAGGGATAAGGAGAGGCGAGTGAAGGAGAAGGAGGAGAAAGGGAGGAGTGCGGGGAGTAGGGACAAGGAGCGGAAGGCAACGGAGGGGGAGGGGAAAGGGGAGGACGGCGGGGAGAGTACTGCATCTGAAAGTAGGGAAGGCGAGGCAGCGAGCAGCGGCAAACGCTCTAGCAGCAGCACCACAGGTGGAGTTGCAGGGAGTGGGGGGGGGGCTGGGGGGGCGGGGACAGCTGCAGCCGGTGCTAGCAGTGTGAGTGGCGTGAAGAAAGCACCAGTTGTGCGGATACCGTCTGGGGATAATAGCAGGGGGAGTGAGGTGGGTACGCCTACGAAGCGGCGCAGCAGCAGCAAGAGAGCGTCAGAGCTCAGTGCTGCTGGTGCTGAAGGTGCGGTGAGCAGCCCTAGAACCCCCACTGGCTCCCGCTCCCGCTTCTCCTCCTCTTCCTCTGTCCCTTCCGCAAGTGCTGCTGGGAGCGCCGGGGCGCGGGAAGCAGGCGCAGGCGCGGAAGGGGACGCGGGGGTGAAAAAGCCTGGCAGACTGGCGAACGCTGGAGGGCCTGGGGCGCGGGGAATGGGGAGAGCGGAGAGCACTGGTGGTGCTGGGGCGAAAGGGGCGCAGAAAAAAGGATCAGGCGGAGGGGAAGAGATGGGAGGAGGGGAGGGGGTTGAAGGGATGGAAGGGACAGGGGAAGGAGAGATGGGGATGGGGGAGGAGGAGGATTTGATGGATGACATGTATAGCCCAGTGCACGGTGAACAAGGTGGGGGAATGGGCATGGATGAGGGTATGGGCATGGACATGGGCATGGACATGGGCATGGACATGGGGATGGAAGGGTATGAGGGGGGGGATGGCATGATGCATGATGGGGGAATGGGCATGGGAGCCATGGGGGGTCATATGCATGATGATGATGACGATGATGACGATGATGATGATTATGATGACTCCACGATAATGGCTAAGCCTCTTAATACGATGGATGGAGGTGGGGGGATGATGGGGGCAGGTGGAGGGCCTATGGGTGCTGGGGGGCACATGGGCATGGGCCCCCATGGGTACATGGGCATGGGGATGGGCGGCGGTATGGGCATGGGCGGAGGCATGGGAATGGGCATGGGGATGGGTATGGATGGGATGGGCATGGGCATGGGCATGGAGGCTATGAATATGGGGATGGGTATGGATGGGATGGGGATGGGCATGGGGATGGGTATGGGCGGAATGGGCATGGGAATGAACCCAGGGATGATGGGTATGGGGCCAGGAGGGATGAATATGATGGGAGGCGGTATGGGGATGGGTGGCGGAGGTATGGGCATGGGGGTAGGCATGGGACCGGGAGGAGTGGGGCCAGCAGGCATGGTAGCAGGGATGGTGGCGGGGATGCCTCTTCCCGGACCTGCTGGCTTGGCTCGGCAGCAGCAGCAGCGGAGGGGGACCTACAGGGAAGAGCAGATGAGCCACGATAGCATAGTCTTGGCTCCTATTTTGCATTCTCCGCGGATGGGCATGGGGATGACAGGCATGGGTATGGGGCAGATGATGGGAGGTGAAGAGGAGGATCATGAGGACGATGAGGACTTGTATGGTGGCGGAGGGGGGAGGGAGGAGGAGGAAGAGGAGGGGTTAGGGTTAGAGGAGGATGACGGTGGAATAGACTTGTACAGCCCTGCTTCACGCGCCTCCCGTGCTTCTCGCAGTGGAGGGGCAGGTGCAAGGAGGAAGGCGGATGCTGCTACCATGGCTGCTGTGACGGAATCCGTTCTTGCTCTCAACAGGTGTCACTGCTCTTTCTTCAATCTCCCTTCTCCTCCTCTACTTTCACCCCTCGCCCCGCTCTCTCCTCCCTCGCATTCTCCTGCTCCATTCCCAATTTATTTCCCACCCCCAGAACAATAAAAATACCACTTCCTATTTTCTCTCCCACCCTTTCTCACATCTCTTCATCCTTTCTCCTCCCTCTGCCCTGCACCCCGGCCTCCGCCCCCCTACTCCTCCCCCGCCCCGCACCCCGCCCTCCGCCCCCCCACTATTCCCCCTCCCCATCCCCTTGTCTGCCAACGACGAGCAGGGCGCTGATGGATGCAGCAGGGTTGGGTACGGTGACGCTGGTGGCGGCAACACGGACTGTGGCAGTGAGCAACGAGGGCATGGCGGCAATGCTGGGGCGCGCCAGGGCGGACGTGGACGGGCAGTGCTTTGCGGATCTTGTGCTTGAAGCTGACCGACCCAAGTTCGAGGTGCCTGGGGGCAAACGGTTGCAATGGTTTGCGAGGATGGGGACTGTTGGCAGGACAAGGAGGGAGTGGGGGAAAGAGGGACGGAAGGGGCAGAAGAGGAAGGGGAAAGGTCGTGTTAGGGTGTGTCAAACTGTTTCCACTTCGTTCTTCCTTCCATCCATGGCCTTCACGCTCATCCTCCGTTTCTTCTCCTCCCTGGTCTGCTCTTGCTGCCCTGGCAGGCGTGGTTGGATCGAGTGTGCAAGAAGGCTGAGGACCAAGCTTCCGACTCGACTCCTGCTGACTCTACAGAAGCAGGCAAAGCAGGGACGCCGGTGCCTGATGGTCAAGTGGACAACGCAATGGAAATGCTTGGCGCTGCTGCTGCCCCTGCTGCTGCTGATGGTGCTGCTAGCAAGGACGGTGGAGCTGTGCTGGCAGGGGAAGGGGCAGACACAGCAGCTGGAGGAACAGCAGGACCAGAGGCAGCAGCAACAGCAGCAGACGGGGAAGGAAAGGAGGGAGGAATTGCAGGAACAGGGGCAGCAGCAGCAGCAGCAGCGGCGGCGGCGGCAGAGCCAGCAGTGGGGCAGGGGAGGGACTGTTTAGAGGTGCGGATGCAGCACAAGTTGGGAGGGTCTGTGCGTGTGCGTATGACTGCTGCTCTGCCACCGCCACCAGCAGCAGCTCCTGACACACAAGCTGCTGCCCACCAAGACAGTCACCACGACACACCTGATGCTTCTACCTCTGCTGCCGCTGCTGCTGGCGCCGCTGGTGTTGATGCTACTGCTGGTGCTGGTGCTGGTGTTGGTGTGAGTGGTGCTGGGAAGGGCGGGAGCGGTGGAGGGGGGGTATTGCCGGAAGTGGTGGCGCTGCTGGTGCATGACATCACGGGGTGCTGCCGACACGGCGAGGAGATGAAGGAGGCCAAGAAGGCTGTGCAGGAGGCTGGAGTGGAAGGCAACAAGGAGTTTGCTCGCATCGTGTGCCGCGAGGTCGGCACTGCTATCAATGGTAACTCTCCGCTTTCTCCTCTTCCCTCTCCCCTCTCCTGTCTGCCCTCTGCCCGCCTCAATAACTCACATCCACTCCTCTTCCCTTTCCCTCCTACCCCGCGACTCACCTCTCGTTCCTCCTTGCCTCTTTCTCTCTCCTGCCGTCTCCTTCTCTTTCTCTCTCCTTCTCCTCGTCTCCCCTTCTCCCCACCACCAGGCGTGGTGGGAATAGCGGATCTGCTACTGGACACGGACCTAGCAGGCGAGCAGCGCATATTCATGGAGCTCATTCTCGCCACCTCCTCCAACCTACACACCGTGCTCTCCAACCTCCTCCTCTCCGCCGCCACCCACCCGCCCCTGCCTGCCGCTGGAGGATTCTTCAAGCCCTCGCTGCACCTCGCTACACAAGACGTAGACCTTCACCGCCAGGTGAGGGTGGGGGGATGGGGAGGGGTGGCGGAGGTGAGAGGAAGGATGGTGGGAGGGGGGAAGGGGAGTGGGTGCAGGCTCGGTCTTTGGATCACCTCACTGGAGGTGCACCCACTCCAACCTCACGCTGCACCTCCCCACACAGGATGTGGACCTGCACCGACAGGTGAGTGAGGGTGGGGATGGGAAGGGCAGGGCGAGGGGAGGGGTGGTGGGAGGGGTGAGGAGTGGGTGCAGGCTCCTGGCCTTGGCATCACCTTGCATGTCTTCTGTTGGCCCTCTTACGCGCCGACTCTCCCGTTGTCGTTATACTCATTGCACGTTTCATCTGAACTGACCTTGATGCACGACAACCGCGTGTGGATGCGTGCATGTGGGTGCATGGGTGCGTGTGCGTCTGTGTGCATATGTGTGCATGCATGTGCGGGCATGCAATCAGGTGCGGGAGTGTGTGCGGCTGGTGGACGTGGTGGCAAAGGAGAAGGGACTGGCGCTCATGTGCGGGATAGACTCAGCGGTGCCGCGCATGGTGGTCACCGACGCAGTGCGTCTCAGACAAGTGCTCATGAACCTGCTCTTCAACGCCCTCCACAACACCACCCGGTTCGAACCACTACTCCCCCTCTCCTTCCGCCTCCCCTTTCCCCCTCCCCCTCCCCTTCCCCCTCTACCTCCCCTTCCCCCCCCCCCCCCCTCCCCCTCTTCTTCCCCTTCCCCCTCTCTCCCGTCTCCCTGCTGCTTCGTTTCCTGGTTTGACTTTCCTGCTTTTAGTTTTCATCATCGCTGTGCATGCCTACCTCTTCCTGCTTATAGTTTCGGCTCCTGTTCGCTTCCTGGCCCCGGGATTTCCCCCCTGTGTGACACACACCCCTGCCCTCATATTTCATACGTGCCACCATGTCCCATCCTTGTTACCCGTTATTTCTAGACCGTTTAACCCGAAATCAAGAAGCGCATGGCGTATCAATCCAATCCTGGCTCTGCAACTGCCGATGCCCATATCAACTCCACCTCCCTCCTTCCCTTCCCTCCCTCCCTCCCCCTCCACTCCCCCTGCTCTCTCCCACCCCCACCCACCGCATGCACCAGGGGTGACATCACAGTGAGTCTGCGACTGGCGTCGCGGTACGAGAGGGAGCAGGTGCAGGAGCGGCGCAGGGAGCACAAGGCGCAGCAGCGCACTCTCCTCGGCCCCGCTGCTGCCTCCGCTGCCGCTGACGATGACGACGACGACGAGGATGCGGGGGACAGTGCGGGCGCGCTGCTGCTGCGCTTTGAAGTGCGGGACTCGGGGTCGGGCATGCTGCCTGCTATCAGAGACGAGCTCACTGCCATGTTTGCCTCTGTGAGTGCACTGCACTGCACTGCACTGCACTGCATTGCACTGCATTGCACTGCACTGCACTGCACTACCCTGCACCTTTCCTGACCACCAGGCATGCATGACAGCTGCTCTCAAAGACGAGCTCACTGCCATGTTCACCTCTGTGAGTGCACTGTACTGCACCTTCCTGACCGTCATGCCCCCCCTCCCGCCTCCCTCCCATTCCTCCCACTCCTTTCCCCTCCCCCCCTTCCCCGTCCTCGTCTCTCCCTTTTTCCCTCTCCCTCCTCCCTCCCCCCGTTTGCCCCTCCTCCCGCAGACCCTCCCAGCGGAGTCAGTGAACGGAGTGAGGGGCACGGGCCTGGTACTCGTGAAGAATCTCCTGGACATGTTTGGCGGCTTCCTGCGCTTTGACAGCGACGAGCACCGCGGGTCGTCCATGGTCTTCTTTGTGCGCGTAGCCATTCCCGAGGTCATGCTCACGCCCGCCCAGCTCAGCCCTCACCAGCCCCCGGACATGGCGCTCTGGCGCAGACTGGCAGACATCCGCGTGCTACTCGTCGACGTGAGCCCTGCTGCCACTAGCCCGTCCATCCATCCGTCCGTCCGTCCGTCCATCCATCCATCCATCCGTCCGTCCGTCCGTCCGTCCATCCATCCATCCATCCATCCATTCGTCTACCTCTCACCCAAAAGTGTAAGCCCGAAACCCACATGGATCCCTGCATGCGTACCTTCATTTGCGCTGTGCCTGTCGGTGGGACTGGAATGAATCAATGCGTTTGTGCGTGCATCCATGCGCGCGTACATGCATGTGTTTGTGCTTGTGTCTGCATGCATGCATATGTGTGTGTGTTGGTATATGTATGTGAGTGCGTGCACGTGTGGTGGTGACAGGAGGACAAGATGAGTGAGATGATAGCATCAAGTGTGTTCCGGCACCTGGGTCTGCCCATGGACACAGCCCACACTGCCATGGACGCCGCATCACTCTGCCACAAGTACAAATACGACCTCATCCTTATTGTAAGCCACCTCGTTTCAACAGATTATCACAAGCGGATGCCCCGTCTTTCCTTCTGAGGCTCGTCGTCATGCTTGCTCCCTACGCATCATCGTTCGTTCCTCAGCTTCATCCTCCTGCCCTGCCAGTGCTTCACCTCAAGAGCCACTCCTCCTTTCCATCACCCTCACATCTCTTGCAATCTGACTCTCTCCCCCACCGCCCCCTCCAACCCTCCAGGACTGCAACCTGTCGGGTGTGGATGGGTTTGACACGGCGAGGCTGCTGAGATTGTTTTCAATCTCATTCAATTTGATCCCAATCCCTGCCACCACCCCCACTGCTCAACCCCCTCCAACCCCCCCAGGACTGCAACCTGTCGGGGGTGGATGGGTTTGACACGGCGAGGCTGCTGAGGGCGCAGGAGAAGGAGGGTGTGGGGCGGGCGGGCGTGTACGAGCGCAGCTGCATGGTAGCGCTCACACCCGGGCTCACCACGAGCAGGGAGGAGGAGCAGCGGTGCAAGCGTGCCGGCATGGACTACTTCATCCCCAAACCCGTGCGCCTCAAGGACCTGCAGATGGTCGTCAGGTGAGCAGGGACATGGCCTCTTTTGGGTTGCCTTAAAAGTGCAAGCGTGCCGGCATGGACTACTTCATTCCCAAGCCCGTGCGCTTCAGGGACCTGCAGATGGCTGTCAGGTGAGGCCAGCCCTGTGAGATGGTTGTCAGGTGAGCAGGGTCTGGGCCCTGTTCATGAAACCTACAGATGCAGCCTAACGTATTTACATGCGTGCATTTGCGCAGCTGTTCCTCTGCAGTCGACCGTTGCTCTCTCCCTTTCTCTTTCCCCATCTCCTCCCTCCCTCCCCCCCGCGCCTCCTGCCTCTCCCTCACCCGCTGACCTCTCTCTCGCGTGCTTGCGACCCCATCTTACCATCGATTTTGAGGGTTCTAAATAAATTGTCCCATGCACACCACGCATGCAGGGAACGCCTGGACAAGCTGGATACAGGTTCGAGGTCCTCGTTCTCCGGGCCCTGCACGCTCGTGCAGTTCCGCTCTGTGGACGACGACGAGGACGATGATGAGCACAGGGACGAGCACCAGGAGGAGGAGGACGAGGGGCGTGGCCGCAAGTCAAAGGCCGACCGTCGCAAGCGCGTGCAGCGCAGGCGCTCCCGCAGCAGCCGTTCAAGCCACACCGAGGATGAGGATGAGGGGGATGAGACAGAGAGCGATCACCCTGGGGACAGCACCACACCGTCACTCACACCTGAGGCCACCACGCCCGTGTCAGCTGCCATGGCTGCCGCCATGGAACTCCAACTCCCCCCCGAGGAAGCCCATGCGCTGGTGGCAGCTGCTGTTGCTGCCTCCTCCTCCTCTTCCTCGGGGTTCTCCGGCCTTCCTCCCAACCCGCTCTGGTCCACAGGGAGCCTTCGCACCACAGGTAGCCTGAGGCCGCAGCCAGGGTCCAGGGACATGCGGTCTGCTCTGGGTCGAGGGAAGGAGGGCGGGTCGGGCATGCTGCGGAGAGGGCGGGAGGGAGGATCGGGGTCCCTGGCGTTTTCTGCAGCAGGGGGTGGTGGATCTGGCGGCTCTGGGTCGTCCCCTAGGAGGGTTGGCAGTGGCGGGAGAGGAGGAGGAGAAGGGTTGGTGGGCACGGGGAGTGGGCGAAGAGAGGATATTTACAGTCTGATTATGTCTCAGAAGGTCAGTCAGGATGAGGAGAAGGTGCAGCGGCGAGGGTCAGGGCTGCAGAGAGGGGGCAGTGGCAGCAGGAGCGATAGCGGCGGGAGTGGGAGCGTGGGTCGCAGTGGGAGTGGGAGGAGGAGCAGTAGACTGGGTAGGATGGGGGATAGCCGCAGCGGGAGGGACAGCAGGGGAAGCAGGGGAGGACGGAGGAGTATCAGCGGGAGTAGAAGCCGCAGCCACAGCCGCAGCCACAGCCGCAGCAGCGGGAGGAGTAGCAGGAGCAGGAGCAGCAGGAGCAGGAGTGGGAGCAGGAGCAGGAGTGGGAGTGACAGGAGGAGGCGGAGGGGAGAGGGGAGGCGAGGAGGCAAAGGCGGGCGTGGGAGTGGGAGTGGGAGTGCGAGTGGTGATGATGATGATGATAACGACTCAGTGGTTGAAGTGACGGACCCAAACAGACTCACTGGGAGGCGGTCGGAACTCAAAGCCTTTCTGGATGGTGCTGAAGACGATGGAGTGAAGGGTATCGGCAAGAGGAGCTCCGATGTTAGTGGGCTGAGGGCGCTGGGGAAGAGGGAGAGCGCACAATGGAAGGACGGGCGGGACGTGAAGGAACGCGAGGGGAGTAAGAGCTTTGGAAGGCAGAAGGTGGAAGTGGAGGAAGAGGATGAGGATCGGGATGAGGATGCGGCAGAGGGTGGTGTGACGGGTGGGGAGGATGATGATATTAGGGATGAGCCGAGGGAAGCAGGCAAGGGGCATGTGAAGCAGAAGTCGTCCATGACTGGGCTGACCATGGACCAGATCTGGGCTCGCATGATGAACAAACCTGCAGCCATTGCGGAAGGGGGCAAGGGGGATGAGGACGAGGAGGAGAGAGGGAGTTTGTCTGGTTCGGACCGGAGCAGGGGGGGTAGAGGCCGGAGGGGGGGTAGGCGGGGTGGCAGGGATGGGGATAGCGACAGGAGCAGGGATGACAGCAGGGGAAGTAGGGATGACAGTCGGGAGCGAGGGAGGGACAGGGATAGGGATAGGAGTAGGGATTGGGACAGAGACCGGGATTGGGATAGTGATAGGGATAGTGATAGGGAGAGAGATAGGGGCTGGAGAGGACGTAGGGGCGGGGAGAGAGACAGAGACAGGGACAGTGACTGGGATAGTGATAGGGAAGGGAGGGGAAGGGGTAGTGATTCCGATAGTGAGAAGGGAGGGCGAGGGAAGAGGAGAGGAGGGAGGAAGGGGTCAGGAGGAGGGAGTGGAAGCGACAAGGATAGGGACGAGGAGAGGAGAAGGGACGGCAGGAGGCGAAGCAGGAGCAGGAGCAGGAGCTCTGGCAGAAGCTCTAGAAGCGGGAGCGACGAGGAGGAGAGGGAGAGGAGACGGGAGCTGAAGAAACAGGACAGCGATGGGAGCGATGGGGAGCTGTTGCCAGGGCTGGCAGAAGCGGCGGCGGCGGCAGCGGCTGGTACGCTGGTGAGCACACCGAGCCTGGGGCGGCTGGTGCATGAGAAGGAGGTGGAGATGGCTCGCAACCTCAAGACTCTGGATGAAGATGATGACAATGATAATGATGATGATGATGATGATGATATGGATGGGGAGGCTGCTGCTGCTGCTGCGCCGGCTGCTGCTGCTGCTGCTCCTGCCGCTGCTGTTCCTGCTGCTGGTGGTGCGGATGTTTCTGCCGCTGGCAGTTCTGATGCTTCTGTGCTGGCAGCATCCAATGAAGGTGACAGTGCAGGCGACGTTCCCTCAACAACAGCTGCTGGGAAGGAAGCACCTCCTGCTGCTGCTGCTGTTGCTGCTGCTACTGGTGACAATGGTGCTGGTGCTGGTGCAGCAGCAACAGCAACAGCCCAAAGTGGAGGTGATGGGGATGATGGTGTGGACGATGATGACGATGGGGAGAGCGACAGCGACGGCGAGGAGGAAGCAGCTGATGGCAGCCCTACGCTGGGGCGAACGTTCACAGTGAAGGCATCGGGTGACCGCATTCGGCAGCTGCTGCGCAGCCAGACCACGGACCGAGTGGCGGGGAAGAAGAGCCAGCAGGACGGCAACAGCCATAACCCCGCACTCGTTAGAAGCAAGACTGCCGGGACTACCGTTCCCGTGCACCTGCAAGGCCAGGGGGTGATTGGCAGGGTGGGCAGTGCTGCTGGTGGTGGTGGCTTGGGGGTTGGGCGCACGGGCAGCATGGGTGGCAGCAGGCTGGGTGCAAGCTCGTTTGGAGTGCCGGAGGGTGGGGGACGGTTTGACGTGGCAGCAGCTGCTGCTGCGGCAGTTGCTGCTGTGCCTGGTGGAACGCAACCGGTGCTTCCCGGCTTTGGCCCTGCTGCTGGCCTCCCTGGGTCTACTACTCACATGATTGAGGCTGGCGGGGCTGTAGGGGCTGTGGGGGCCGTGGGGGCTGTGGGAACTGCAAGTGCAGTGGATGGAAGGCAGGGTGGGGACGCAGCAGGAGCAGGTTTGAATGGGGAGGATTTGTCTGAGGATGAGGGGATGGCGTGGGAGCGCGAGGTGAGGGAGGGGAGGGGTGGCTCGGGTCGGCATATGGATGAGGAGTTGCCGCTGGGATGGGGCATGAAGGACCGCCTGGGCGGGCCCAGGGGAAGCTACAATGAGAGGGAAGAGGGGGTTGATGGGGAGGATGAGGAGGGGGAGGAAGAGGATGAGGATGGGGAGGAGGATGAGGAGGATGAGGAGGATGAGATGGATATTAAAGAGGAGATTGCACTGGCTAGGGTTGCAGCATCGGAGAGCTTGAACAGGAGGAAGGCTGCGCAGTTGCTAGAGGAGCTAGGGCCACGGGGAGGCGATGGTGCTGCCGGCATGGGGTGATGGCATGGTAAGGGAGAGAGTGCGTGAGCGAGGGGGCTGGAGATGGGTGCGGCACAGTACCAGGGGTTGGATGTGTGGGTCTGGCTTGATCTGAGGACCGAGATGCCTGTGTGACAGATGGTGCAGTGCAGCGCACAGCCACATGCTGCCACTACCGGTACATCCTTTCATGCTGTTGTGGCTGCCAGAACAGCATTGCTTCGCTGTCTTCCTCCCACCTCTTCTCGACCCACTTTTTTCCCTGCCCTGTAGGTAAAACAAGATGATGTTGCCCAGCAGAACGTGGTGCAAGAAACCACATGTGTCGTAACAAGCATGTTATGTGCATGCATCACTGCAGCCTGCCTTGTGCTGGTTGGGTCGGTGCTGCTTGTGTGTGGCCAGGCCAGCTGTTGTGTGTTGTGTACTAGCAGATGGTGGCTGACATACGGTAATATGTGCTGGCATGTAGGATGTTATGGCACAAGCTAGGAGGTCTAAAGCGGTGTAGGTTAGTAGATGTCAGTAGATGCTAGAACGTACTGGTAGTTAATGGATTATGGTGTGCACTTTCACATGGTAGTACAGTAGTCGTCCCTATGAAAACTACTCCATTGATCTCATCAGCAGAACCACGACTAGAACAGTTGTCACAAATCAAATATGTCCAATCGACCAAATGCCATGGCCTCCTCCTTCCAGCTCAACTTCTGTGGCATTTGTGACATCTCCAGCACCAATGCACTTGCTGCCTGTTGGGTTGGGTTGGGACCTGGAATTACCCTATAGCACGCCACAAGGTAAACCACACCACACCAGTCATTTGCCTCCTGTCCCAGCCAGAAAGCATGCAGGGTATGGAAAACAAGGAGCCAGCTCATGCAAGAATGACATCATCTTTAACCAAACTACACTACCATACTCCCTCCCTTTTCCAACCCCAACTCCTCAACCCCCCTACAGATCCTTCCCCTTGGGCTCAACTGGCCTCTCAACGTCCTCCCGAGGCTCCTCCTCCATCTGTACGAACAGGCTGGCGTGCGGGTGCAGCCCTGCTTCCTGCAGCGTCTTGGAACGCTTTTCAGCGTCGTACACGGTGCGGGGGAAGTTGGAGACGAGCAGGTAGTGGTGTGACGGCAGCAGGGAACCCAGCGCCTCCGAGTCCACGTAGTCGTAGAGGGCCTGCACGCGGTCGCTCGACAGGAACCGCCGCTCCTTGCGCTCGCCCCCTGGCATGCGGATCAGCACCTGCCCCGGGGATGATGGGTGGGGTGGGGTGGGGTGGGGTGGGATGGGGTAGGCAGAAGTGGTTGGGATGGGATGGGACGGATCGGTTGGGGTGGGGTGGGTGGCATGGAGCGGGGTGGGATAGGATGGGGTGGGGTGGGCTGGTTTGGGTTGCAGTGGAGTGGGGTGGGTGGGATGGGATGGGAAGGATGAGCCAATCACACGCCCCCTTGAAAGGTTCACACCTGAGTGGAGTCTGTGCCCTTATCTGCCTGCTCTCCCATGACCCAGTCTACCCATGGCTTCTGACTGTCTCCTCATCACTGCTGCTACATTCATTCACATGTCGCAAAGCAGATCAAAACACGCGTTGCTCTCACCTGAGTGGTGTCTGGGCCTTTCTCTGGCTGCTCCCCCAGTCTACCCATGGCCTCTGACCGTCTCCTCTCCACCACAGCTGCTTTCTCCGCGGCTGCTCTTTCTACCTGCCGCTGCTGCTCTGCCTCCTCCTCCGCCCGCCGTGCTGCCGCAGCCTCCTCCTCCCGCTGCTTCCTCGCAGCTTCCTCCCGTTCCCTCTCGCGCTCCTGGTGGCACGAGGTGCAGAGTGGGGATGGGGAGGGCAGCAGTGGAAGAGTGACAGCGCAGCCATGGATGGGAAGGGGAAAGGCATGAGGGAATGAGGGATGGTGGGCGGGAGGGAGGAAGGGACAAAGTAAGCAAGGAAGGGCAGGGAGTGCAGGATGAAAAGGTAAAGTACAACTCGCTGCAACCCCTTGCCCATGCCAAATCCAAAGTGGCCCTGCACGCACTGCCCCTGCCGGTCTGCCCCCCTGCTTGCTCCCCTCCCTTGTACCCCCATTTCCCCCCCATGCCATGCACGCACCTGGTCAGCGAGCAGCGCAGCGTGGAAGGCGGCGTCCTGCTCCTCGCGGAGGCGGCGGGTGAGCGCCCTCTCCTCCGCGTCCGCCCTGGCCGCCACCAGCACCGCGCCATGGTCCTCCACCGCGCGCTCCAACGCTGCCCTCAGCTCTCCCGCCGATACGTAGCCCTGGATCTGCCCCGCTCAGGGGGAGGGAGGGAGGGTGGGGGGGAGGGAGGGAGGGAGGGAGGGAGGGAGGGAGGGAGGGAGGGAGGGAGGGAGGGAGGGAGGGAGGGAGGGAGGGAGGAAGGGAGGGAGGGAGGGAGGGAGGGAGGGTGGGAGGGAGGGAGGGAGGGAGGGAGGGAGGGAGGGAGGGAGGGAGGGAGGGAGGGAGGGAGGGAGGGAGGGAGGGAGGGAGGGAGGGCGGGAGGGAGGGAGGGAGGGAGGGAGGTAGGGAGGGAGGGAGGGAGGGAGGGAGGGAGGGAGGGAGGGAGGGAGGGAGGGAGGGAGGGAGGGAGGGAGGGAGGGAGGGAGGAAGGGAGGGAGGGAGGGAGGGAGGGAGGGAGTGCGGGAGGAGGGATGAAGCGACGCCCTTGTTCATTCTTAACCCACCACCCCAATCCTTGCCTCCCTCTTTTCCCAATCCCCCCTCTCCCTCGTTCCTTCAACACCCTTCCCCTCCCCTCCCCCCAATCCGCTTCCCTCCCTCCCCTTCCCCTCCCACCGCGCGCCGCGCACCTGCTGCAGCAGCGCCACGCGTCCGCCCGGCGCGGCGGTGATGAGCGCGAGGAAGGGGAAGCGCACGGCGTGCAGGCGGTGGCTCATCTGGAAGCCCTCCACGCTGCGCACGTCCGCCGCCCACAGCACCAGCTGCTCGTCTATCACGCGCACCACCTCCGGGTCGCACAGCGTGTCGCGGCAGAACCGAGGCGTCGCCGCGTGCTCCGGCGCGTGCAGGTACACCAGCAGGAAGCGGAACTGCTCGCCCGAGCGCCGGAGCGCGTCCGCGAAGCTCCCCGGAAAGAACTCCGGGTGCGCGGTCCCGAACTCCGCTTCGAACCGCTGGCGGAAGACCGCCGCGTCTTGCGCCTGCTGGTTTCCCCCTCCCCCTCCCCCTCCGGCCCCCCGCTGCGCCTGTTGTTGCGCCGCTCCCCCGGCCTGCTGCGAAGGGTGAAGCACGCCGATGGTCCCCTGATGCCCGCTGTACGGGTGCGGCCCGCCCGCTAGCCAGAGCGTCACGGAGCTTAGAGAAGCGAAGAACGTGGATAGGACACCGCCGGCCGCCCACAAGCCTAGGCCGAAGAGACTAGCCATGACCCCCAGCCCTCCGCGGAGCACCCAAAAGGGGAGTGACAGTAGGCGCGAGAGGAGCGACGACGATGAGTTGCGGTGGGACGCGCGGACTGGCGCGCGGCCCGAACGGTGCGCGGAAACGGCGGGAGGGAGTGCGCCCGTGGCGCCGTCCGCAGTCGCTCCTGCTGCGGCGGGACTGCTTCCCCCTCCACCACCGCCGCCGCCGCCGATGCCTCCGCCTCCGCTTCCCCCAGACACAAGCCCTCCCGTCCGAGCGCGCAGATTCGAGTTGCCGATGGGGCCTCCGCCTCCCCCTCCTGCTCCTCCCGCTCCTCCTGCTGTTGCTGCTGTAGCCCCTCCCCCTGCGCCGGCGGAACGCGCCAAGCTGGTGCCGCCGGAACTGCCCGCAGCCACGCCTAACCTGCCGGCAGCAGCAGCGGCGGCATCTCCGCCGCCGATGCCGCCTCCCAGATCGCCCGCGGAAGCGCCACCAAAGTGCTCTCGATCCGCGGCGGCGACCGCGAGAAGCGTGCTGGCGGCGGCGTTGACGTCCCACGCGTGCGCCTCCAGCACCTGGCGGCAGTGCGTCTCGTCCGCCACCCCCGTCACCTCCTGCAACGTCTGCACCGCTTGCGCCGTCGCCGCTGCGTCCAGCAGAGGCGGCGGAGGCGCCGACGCTGCCGCTGCCATGAGCGAGCCGAGTGGGCGCTAGATGGCGATGGAGACGGCGGGAGCGGAATTGGCGAGAAAGATTCGGCGTGCGGGGGTTCTCTATACTCGGCAAACGAACTGTAAGGAAGTGGGATGCCCGACTTAGCGGAGCTGCGGAGCACAGCCAGAGGAGTACGCCCGGCACGAGCGATTCACCAGCGCTCGGCCACTATGCACGACGGGTTAGGGAGGGTCAAGCCGAGATACTCACTGAACAAAGCTGCTGCACAGTCCCCTATTCAGTTTCAGTTCTGTTGAAATCAATGGCGAGATCTAGCACTACAGTTGCCATTTCTGTTCTCGCCTCGTGTGATCGAGGAATTCTGAAAAGTCCGCAGGGGCAAGGTTGAGGGGGAAGGGCGGAGGGAGCCTGCGCGCACCCATGACGGGTCACATCACAGGTCCAGGGATGGGGAAAATTTAGGGGCAGGCGGGAGGGTTGTAAAAGGAGCACGAAGTGTTGGAGCCTGCCCGTACCGCTGGGTTGAGGTGGTGCCACCGCTGACCGACAAGAGGGGGAGAGACTCGCTAAAGGGAAATGATCAAACTGGGGCCGAAGAGTACCAGAGCGATGACCGAAGTAGGGCCTGAAAATCTCGAACGTAGGATATTTACTCGGAGCTGCCCAAGCGGTTAGGCGAGCAAGCCGAACCGTTAAACAACGGTAAATGCTTAACGCACCGAGTTTCTTATGTTATGTTATTTGGGTATTCTACTACAGCGCGCGCGTCGCACTTTTCTCAAAGTTGCATTTGCCGTGTTGAATTGTGAGTCCAAAGCGACATATTTATATTATTGGTAATAAATTTAACATTCCTGATCGTAGCGCGCAGACAAAAAAATATATATAAAACCCGTTCGGATACGGGTGCGACTCGGGAGGCATCAACCCTAAACGCCATGAATGCTTGTTTTTAGGGTTGATCCATCCCGAAAACGCATCCCGGTTCCCTAGGGGTTTTAGTTTTTTTGGATGCCTTAAGGGTTTCTGGCTCGATAAACGACTCTATTGGGTGGAAGGTCATGAATCATTAACGATTTCCATGAATAAATGACGCGCGAGCCGAAATGCATATTGTGAACAGACATACGTGCATAAATTGATGTCTCTCTGACAATTGCTCTTTGCGCAGTGGTTTGGCTAGATACGGGCCTCTCGGCCCCTGGTCGATCACCTCTCTGGCACTGCTCGGCCCCTCGATGATCTTTTCCCCTCGCTAAAAGCGAGAGGCGAACCTGTTCGGTCCACCTAGGTTCCCAGCATCTCGGAGGCACAACTTTACTAACTGTAGCATTTGCTGAGTGGTCGCTATAAGGCTGCATTTAGTGAGTGGCATCTATTTGTATAGTCTATTACAAATATGATGTATTATGTAGTATGTTGGTAATACAGTCCTGTCACACCTTTGTATCATTATGACAATGGTAAAATTCTTTAAATTTCTTACACAATTGATGTATTCACGTTGTAAGACTTATGCGTAAAAGCTTGGCTGTTTTTCAATCTACAGCTTGGCTGAAACCTTCTGGATGTGTTTTCTACTTTAGAAGCTAGTCTGTTTCTATAGCTATTCTCTTTACCGAGTCGAGCCACAGAATCTTGTCCTCGTGTGGTCACTGGTCACCGCCTCAAGCCAACAGCACACTGCATTTCTGCACCAGCAGCAGCCATGACATGACAGGCATGCCATGCCAGTCCAACTGCAATCGCCGTTCCTCACTGCCCCTATCACAACGTAGCGTGCTCTTTGTCATTCATTCCGCCCCTGTATTCCTCGCTCTATTACTGCTGTCTGCAGCTCGCGACTGGTTCCTCTAACGGTCGTGGAACTTCCACGTTCTCCACCATTACCTGTGCACTAACGACACAGTACGACAGTACTGTACATCGCTTCGCGTGGGGCTGCCGATGACACGGCCAATGCCGTTACCGACATTCTTAACTAAGAATGTCGTGCAGTCGACGCAACGCGTGGGAGGCGAATGGATGCGCTATTCTTGGCGGGTTACATTGCAGCCAGTCATCAGCCCTTTTTGTAATTCATCCTTTCGCCATGCTTGTCCGACATGACGCCGATGGCGCTAATCCCAAGGCAGCGCTGGTACAGCCGTCGCGAAGCGCTAGATACAGCCGTACAGTACACCTCCACCGACCCGACCCGCCCCGACCAACCCGACCCGACTCGAAACCTTCCCACTGGAACGACTCCCGTGCCGTGACCCGTCCCCCATACTGAGCGCTGCCATGAGTCGCACTTGACCGCCGCATGCTATAAATGGAACGCTCCTCTCAAATCATCGTCAACTTCCAGTCTTGTGCTCAACTGTTACTCTCTGGTGCCGCTCGGCTTTTGTCCACTCTCGTACGCAAGCTCGAGCCATGGCGATGCAGCAGCATTTTAGTTTCTCCCAGCGAGTCGTGGTGGCGGTGGTGGTGCTCATCGCCGCTGCTTTCGTCACCTCGTCACAGGTGCGTCTCTTCATGCCACTCTAGTCACGTAGCTCGTCACGCCACTCGCTTACCCCTGGATTTCTTGATTGGAAACATGCGAAACCTGTTTCGCGTCTGCGTTCGCGCGTCGAACCTGCCGTGTCGACTGGCAGGAAGTGAAGTTAGAGTTTAATACTGCCGTTGCCGTGAATAGCGTCAGTTTGAGGGTTTGGCGGCGTTCTTTCTCCTCCGTGTGCGTGGGGTGCAGGCCAATCCCCTGACGACCTTCGTGGTGGGCGGCAACTACAACTTCCCCACCTTCCGACCCAACCCTTGGAATCTCCGCGCGCACACGTACAACCCTCAGCGCGTGCTGCCCGGAAACGACCTTGGTATGCCGCCCTGGGAAAAACAAGCTGCTCCCTTACTCACCCCCTTTCCTGTGACAATCCCTGGTTCCTCCTTCCACCCTGCCTCGTCCCCGTTTCCTTACCGTATTCTCAACTTCCGACACCATTCTCTCTTCCTCTCTCGCCCTCTTAAATCTTTTGTACTCTCTCACTCTCCCTCGCTTTCTCTCACGCTCCTCAATCTAGGTACTACCAACCTCTCTTTCTCACCCCTCTCCCACTCTCCACTCTCTCTCCCTCCCTCTCCCTCTCTCACCCTCTCCCTCTCTCACCCTCTCACTCTCTTGCCCTCTCACTCTCCTCTATCCCTCTCCCCTCCTCCCGCATGCAGAGTTTCGGTGGAACGGGTGGCGATCGGACGTGTGGAAGTTCCCGACCATGGCGGCATACCAGGCGTGCGACTACACGTTCGCCACGCAGCTGGTCAAGCCGTCCTACTTCGGAAAGTACATCTACACCATTCGCCAGGTTGAGGCCGGCACCACGCTCTACTTCGCCAGCCGCGTCTGGCGGAACTGCCAAAAGGGACAGAAGGCCAAGATCCGCGTCAATGATCTTAATCCGCTGAACTAGAGGGGCCTCTGTAGGTGAGCGCGTTTGTTATGTGTGGGGAAATAAATTCGGGTAGATGGGTGTACCACCTGTTGGATGCGTATCAGAGCAAGTGCCTATGACCTTTGTGCTGCAGAGGCACTATATTGGACTGGATACCATTGTTATCTCTTTCAAGTCAACCACTCTGTTCTGATGCCAAACATACCGTCATCGCCCGGATATACGACATATATGTCTTATCTCGTACACGGGCAAAAATGCTTGAGTTATCTTGTAAACGGGATGGTTTAGAGTGTCTTATAAGTCTTATAAATGGAAAAAAAATAAGTTGACTGTAACACTTGCAAAGTGTGTAGAAAACACCCAGTGACCAGATTCATTGAAACAGGCCGACTTCGGTGGTGATGCATGCAGCGCCCACACTTGCCACGTGAGGGAGCTGCCACCGCTGGCAATATTCCTCTATGCTGGCAGCATCTAATGATGCTGCCAGCGTCGTTTTGCTGCCAGCAGCGCAGGGATGCTTCCAGAACGCTGCTGGCAGCACGTTGGCAGCGTAAGCGCTGTCCTCTACGAGGAGATGCCTCGTAGAGGAGCGACTCGGCACCTGTAGATGGGGCACTCTGGTTGGGGGGGGTAGTCGGCCTCTCACTTCATTTGGTGCTCAAGGGTTTAGGAATACTCGTCTCAACCTTGCTCTCGGCAGGCTTTCCAACCATGCGCAGCAAAGTACCCCCAGGCTCGTCCTCTCCTCGTCCTCACGTGCAGGTGAATAACTACGGGCGAATTAACTCGCCCGGCGATGACATCCGTGTAGCCATGGCGAAGAACGCGAGCAAGGCGGGAAGTCCTACCGCGGCCTCCGGTGCGAGCTGTGACGGGGACGACGGAGAAGAAGCGAACGGCGACGACGCCGAGGAGGATTGGCCGGAGAACGGCCACGACGACAGCGCTTCGGGCGACGAATTAGGTCCTGCCGACATCGAGGAGGACGAATGGTGGAATCGGCCGGTCGGGAGCGACGACGAGGTGGAAGAGTGGCGGGCTGGAGATTCGGACAACGACGGAGGTGAAAATGCGAATGGTGACAACGCGAAGGCAGCGGCGGATGCACAGGAAGCGGCGATGGATGCGAATGAGGAGGCTGAAGACGGCGCGGCCGCAGTTGCGGATGCGGATGCTGTGGCAGAGTCGGACACGGTTGCTGCGGATGCCGTCTTATTTGACGACGACCCATGGAGCCTTGGGACAGACGACGACGTTCCGCTACTGAAGCGGAGGCTGCGCCATTACCTACAGTCCAAGTCGAAGCGGGCCCGCGTGGTGCTCTCTGACGACGACAGTCCGGGGGAGGAGCGTCGCCCGAAACTCACCGCTGCGGAGAAGGGAAAAGCCAAGGTCGCGGAAGCCCCTGCTAAGGCCCCTGCTCGTCGCCGCACAAGCAACAAGAAGCGGACATCCGACGGAGACCCGGGATCTAGCAAGGGTGCGGCTAAGAAGAAGGCGAAGAAGGCGCCGAATCCTGACGACATCGTCGTGAACGAGACTCTGGGCAGCGACGATGAGTACGCGGCGGCGGTGGGCCCGATTCCCACGTTCCCTGAGAAGGTCACGCCGAAGGACCCCACCCTCCATAATCCCAACACCCGCCCACCTTCCCCTCGCAGCAAGGACACTACGAGGAAGCGCCGCAGTTGGACCGTGCGTGAGAAGCTTAAGTGGGCACGCCGCTATCTGGAGCTCGGCTCCTTGAAGAAGACGAGCGTGGAGTCAACCGCGTCCATCGCCTGCATCAGACGCTGGAGTGCGGAGGCGGCTGCGGGCGTCTACAAGGGCGCAGCTAACTGCCGCAAGCGGATGCACGGGGGGGGGGGGGGCGCCACTCACACTACCCCGACATGGAGGCAGCGTTGTACCGCTACATCTGCCTTCAGCGCGCTAACGGGGTGGCCATCTCGGTGAAGGACACCCAGAAGTGGAGCCGCGAGTGGATGAAGAAGCATCACGCCGGCAAGAACTGGAACGCGAGCTCTCACTGGAGCCAGCGTTTCCGTGACCGCTGGAACCTGGTGATGCGGGTGAAGACCAAGGTCGGCCAACGACTGTCGGCAGGTGCGTGTTGAAGGAATTCGTGTCGCGCGCGGGCTATTGAATGCATGTCCCTCACCCAGTGTCTAACCATCCCGTGTTTCCGTTGCGCGTGTACCGTTTGCAGAGTGCGCGAAGGACTGCGAGTCCTTCTGGAAGTTCGTGCGCATCAACAGGGCGCGGCACAACATCGACCTGGCCCGCATCATCAACGCGGACCAGACTCCACTATTCGTGGAGATGCCAGCCGAACGGACGATCGAGCACCGCGGCGCGCGCTCGGTCCCAATCCGCACTGCAGGCTACCAGAAAACGCGCTTGACGGTGATGCTCGCGTGCACTGCATCCGGGGAGAAGCTGCGGCCGTGGGTGTGGTTCAAGATGAAGAACGTCCCCAACTGTGAGATTCCGGAAGGTAAGCGTAATGAATTCAACCGTGCGACTGCCTGATGAGCGTGCCCCACTGTGCTGAAGCCCGTCTGTCCCTTGTGTGCCTGGCAGGAATCGTGGTCCAAGCACAGGACAACGGGTGGATGGACGAGAGCGCTGTGCAGACCTGGCTTTCCAAGGAGGTGCTGCCCCATCTGAACCCCCAGCGCGGCCAGAACGCGAGGCGTGCGATGCTGGTGTTGGACTCCTACCGCGGTCACATCCACCAGACCATGCTTCAGTCGTACCGCACGCACAGCATCACCCCTGCAGTCATCCCAGCGGGTTGTACGAGCCAGATTCAACCCCTGGACGTCTCAATCAACCGGTGCTTCAAGGCTGCTGTGCGAGCGCGCTACGCCAGGTGGTTCATGCGTGAGGGGATTCACCTGAAGACGAAGAAGGGTGAGTTGGTCCTTCATTTACGATATTATTCCTATTATGTTTCCTGTCCTTGTCTTAAACATGCTCCTTCATGTCCGTGTCTCTAACATCTCGCTGCCCCGTCCTCAAACCCACCCGCAGGGAACCTGCGGAGGCCGCCCCACCCCGTGGTGCTGCAGTGGATCGCGGAGGCTTGGGATCAAGTCCCCAAGCAGATCATCATCGACGCGTTCCGCCACTGTGGGATCTCAAACAAGCTGGACGGAACGGAGAACCACCTGGTGATGTCTCACCTGCGCGCCAGGAGCACCACTGATGTCTCCGCGGACATGTCCCTCGGGGGGACCACAGGCGACAACACGCGCCTGCTCGGTCGGGCTCCAGAGGAGGAGGAGGAGGAGGAGGCGATGCAGGCGGAGGGCGTGCGGGAGGTGGCAGTGGCAACCGGCCTGGAGGTGCTGTACCAGGAGACCCCCAACTACCGCGGGGCGGCGGCCGAGGCTGACCGCATGATCGAGCCTAGGGAGACGGCTAGGCATGCCTGGCAAGTGCCAGACCTGGGTGTAGAGCCTGTTGTTAGCGCAGGCGAGGAGGCGGTGACTGAGGGGGGTTAGGTAGAAGTAGAGATTCATGAATGTATGCATGTACCCCCATAAAGTAAAGAAGGCTCGTTTAGAAGACACCCCCTGTTTATAAGAACACCCCTAAACCCCGGTTCTGATTATACGACATATGTCTTAACTCGTACACACAAATAGGTGTCGTATAAAAAGGCTAGCCTGTTTATAAGAGACACCCGTATAGTAGACAACCCCTGTCTACTATTCAACACTGTCTTATATCCGGGCGATGACGGTATGGAATGAGTGGGCAAGAAGCCTTGTATCCTAGCCTTATATAGTAAATATCCACCTCAAGCACTTCAATGCGCTGCTATTCTATTCCAGAGCACGTTCCCACTGTTGTAATTGCTCCTCAATCCGAGCCCTCCATCCCACCACACTCTCCCTCCTCGCCACTCCACCACCTTCCTCCTCGCACTCCCCACTCGTCTCCACCTCTGCTGCCAGCTGCCATGCAAACTCCATCAACCGTCCCTCCCCACTCCTCACAGCAACCCCTCCTTTCTCCTCCCCCCCAGACACTACTGCCGACCCTCTCCCCCGCCTCTTCACCTCTGCCTTCTCAATCGCCTTGCTCTCCCCCTGGCCTCCCTCAAGTCTGCCCCCTTGCTCCCACTGCACCTGCTGTGAATGCTCGGCTAGAGCTAAAGTGGCAGGTGTGACTTGGTTGATTCTGCGGGGAATGGCATGGGCGTATGCCTCTACGACCGAGGCAAGCGCGGAGAAGGAGAGCGGCACACGCTGCCGTAGCAGCCGCGCCAGGAAGAGCTCCATGTGAAAGATGTTGCCCTGGGATTGGTTGGTGGGGAGAGTCGGGGAGTGGGGATGCGGACAGCGGGAGAGGTGTGTCAGGAAGATGAGCGGTGTAAGAGGGCGGTGTGTGGGGGTGAGGGGAGGGAAAGGGGGGACCAAGGTGGTGGAAGGGCGGATTTTAGACCGAATGGCGGGGGACAGTGGGGTTGTGAGGAAGAGGAGCAACAGCGGGAAGGTGGAATCAACGAGCCTCTCCACACCAGCACAGCTATATGAGAGAGTGAACAGCCACCCATAAGCACTCACCTGGAAGGCAGCAAACGCGACAGCGGTGCTGTAAGAGGTCTGGTCGGGGGTGAGGTGAGGGTGCTGCTCCATGCGTGCTAGGAAGCGATGCGCTGCCTTGTAGTCCTGCACACTGCATGCCGCCTGCCGTGTGCTCCCAGGCAGTGAGCCACATGGTTTGCAGTGCGAGCCACGAGCAGCGCACAACGAGCAGCGAGCAACGAGCAACGAGCATGTGCACACCGCGAACACGCACGGAGACACGGGGAGATGGACATATAGATATGCACACAAGCAAGGAGGAAATTATTGAGTTGACTCGATAATCGGACATGTAGATACGCACACAGCCAACAAGTGAGGAGATGGGTGAGCATGCATGTAGATAAGCGAACAGACGGACTAGAGAGCAAGCAAACAAGCAAAGGAGCAACCGCACGCAAAAGCAAGAGGGTCAGCACAGAGAAGGAACAAGAACGGAACAAGGAACGGAACTGAGAAAGACGCACACACCTTGATGGCAGTGTTAAACGTGATGGTATCCGGCTCAACCCCCCTCTCCTCCATCTCTTCAATCACGTCGCACACCTCAGCCACACAGTCCGTCTCACCACCCTCGCCCTCCCACTCCCCTCCTCCCCGCCACCGGCCATCCCTCTCCACCAGCACGTCTCCGCCCCTCCTGCTCCCCCTTGCACTCGCACTGCCTGCCCCTGGGTGCGCAGCAGCGACAGCAAGGGCGTTGAGGAGAGCATTGAATGTGACGGTGGTGGGTGTGAGGTGCCGGTGCTGCTCTGTGAGAGCAAACAGCTGCCTTGCTGCGTGCACCTGTGACACGGTGGTTGTTGGGTAATGCCAGGGGGGTAATAGGGAGGGGGAAGGCGGATGGCGGCATGACAAGGGTGGGACGAGAGTAAGGGGCAGTGGGGGGTGGAGGAAGGTGGTGCAAAGGAGGGGGGGGGCGTGGAGTGTTATCGTACAGCAACATAGAACTGAACCTGAGATAACAGACAGTGCAAAACAGGTGCAAGCGCGAGAGGCCACTCTCTGTTCCCACACTTTTTCCTCCCTCCTCCCCCCTGCACCTTCATCCCCCCCCCCCCCTCACAGTCACCCCATGTCTGCCACCAATGGGTCGCCTCATGCACCCACATCTCCCTCCCACTCCAGCAGCAGTTTCCCAGGCGTCTCAAATCAGGGACCCACCTGGCCGAGCCTGGCGGCGGCAGCAATGGCGGTGTTGAGAGTGAGCGTGTCGGTGAGCGGGCGGCCAGCAGCATCAGGCGTGGACAGCCCCCACTGCACGTGCTGCTGCATCGCCCTGCACAGCCCCGCCCCGCCCAACACTCGCACCTGCCAGGCAGGTTGGAAGGGAAAGAAGAGGCAAGAGGGAGGGAGAAGAATCCGGTGATTGAGGGACTGGGAAGAGGACGGAGGAAGGAAACCGGAGGGTGGAGGGGGGTCAGAGAAGGTGGGGGCAGAGGGGGGTGGGGGGTTAACTGTTAGGTGATTGGGCCTGTGGCAGCTAAAGTCGGGGTGAGAGGATTCCGCTCACGAGTGTGCAGAAGGATGCAGCAGAGTGCCTGACACCAGCAGCACCCATTGCCGCCTCCACTGCTGCCACTCGCTGCCACACCTCCCTCTGCCTCGTCCCCCCCCCCTCTCCCTCCTCGTCCACCGCACCAGCATCATCATCTCTCCATCCGACCGCAGATACTCCTGTCTCTCCATCCATATCCTCGTGATCATGATCCCCGCTCTTCCACCGCCCCATGCCAGCTTCACCTTCCAATTCCCCTGCACCCCCTTCACCATCTCCCCAACCTTCCCCACCCCTTCTTCCCCTCACCCCGCGCAGCCCCATCTCATTCCCTCCCCAACCGTCCCCCACTCCCATCCAATCCCCCACCAGGTCCCCTCCACCTCCCATTCCTCCACCGGAACCACTCCCTTTGATGCCCCACCTAGTGGGCGTGGTGGGGCCGGCAGCAAGCAGCAGCAGGGCCTGCAGAGTGCAGGTGTCAACGGGTACTTGGTCAGCCAGCATGGCTTTAAACACCTGCAAGGCATTGTCGAACCGGCCCTCCTTGCTGCACGCGCGGATGAGAGCGTTCCCTGCGAACCGCAGGCGCGTTGCATGCTCTCCAGACGCGGTTGAAGTAGCTACTGCTGCTGCTGCTGCATCAGAGCGAGTGAAAGCCCTTGTGTCGTGGTCATACTCATCATGATAATGATCACCATCATCAGTATGAGTAAGAGGATCAGTCGAGCTGGTGTTGCTGGGCCCTCCCTGTCTGATCTGGTGGAACAAGCGCAGAGCATCCTGTGTGCTGCCATGGCGGATCAAGCCGTATGTCAGGAAGGAGTCCACAGCCACTCGGAGAGACTCGCCGCTGCTGCTGCTGTTGCTGCCACTGCTGCTTCCCCTGCTGCCGTCGCTGCTGCTGTGGCTGCTGGGGACGGCGGAGGGAGAAGCCAAGGCGAGGGAGCCGTCTGGAGCGGTGAGTGCAGGAGTGGAGCCCTCGCGGTTGCCAGTGGTGCCACTGATCAGGTCGAACTGGGGCAGGGAGGGAGCAGAGGGTGGGGACGGGGAGAATAAAGGGTGACATGGAGAGAGGGAGAGAAAGGGTGACTTCGAGACATACGGGGCAAACGCGCCCCCCACGACAGCGTTCCTTAAGCTGCTGGCCACAGCAGCGGCTAGGAACAGGTTCAGGGCCAACCCCTTGGCCAAACCGGCCAAGAAGATGGCCTGCCACTTCAGCCAACGCTGGTCAGTGGCCCTCCAGCGCTCCCAGGCGAATGCCCTGCACACCAAGGCCAGGGCTGGGATTGAGGCAGCGCACCCCCAGATGGCAGCGGACCCCTGGCCGCTGCACCTGGGGGACATCCTCCACACGCTGGAGGGCTAGAGGGTCACTCAGGGGGGGGGGGGGGGAAGAGGGGTGAGTTAAGGGGCTTAAGGGAAGGAGGTTATCATGGATAGCACTGCATGTTTTGTACCCCTGCTGAATCAATACAAAGGACCGTTTGAGAGAAAGGATATTGAGCACGTGCATGTACAGGGGAGTGCGGGACGAGGGCGGAGGGTGGAACGCGGAGAGAATGGGGAAAGGCGGAGAGAGGGCGGGGGAGAAGAAGAGCAGGGTGGACTGGCGATACTTACTATGGCCTGTGCGAGGGTGGGTCGGTGGGAAGCGAAGGCAGCGCGGGTGAGAGCGTTGATGGTGTAGTCATCTGGACGCACTCCCCACTGCACCATCTGATTCATGCATGCACGGAGCCATGGGGTCACACGGCAGGGAGGGACGGCGGGAAAGAGAAGGAAACATGGGGACATATATAAGTGGACAGAACGAGAAAGAGGGACGTAAAAGAAGATGGTGCAGTGGACATGTATAAGTGGTCTCTACAAACCATGCCATCTCTCTCTTGCTCTCTCCTCTCCACTCCTCTCCTCTCCTCTTTCCTCTCTCCTCTCTCCTCTCGCCAGTCTATCTGTCTCACCCGTTGCAGCATAGCCAGAGCCAAGTCCCATCGGCCATGCTTCGCAGCCGCATTAAGGATGGCATTCCAGCCCACCCGCAAACCCATCTCCACCGCCTCCCACTCCCGCCCCTCCTTCGCACCCTGCAACTCCATTCCCCGGCCCATCCCTAAACCCAATCCCATGTCCCGATTCATGGAAACCCCTCTTGCTTCCTCGCCACTCCCTTCCCCAGCTCCACCCAGCGCCGCTCCCTCTGACTCCCCACGCGACTCAGCAGCAACGCCCTCTGTCTCATGCCCCTCATGCTGGGATATAAGCGCCAGCAGCTGCTTTCCATCCCATGCACCCTCCCTGTTGCACCCCCATGTGCCTCGTGCTTCCCACATGCCCCTCCCTCTCCTGTCACTCGACCTCTCACTCCTCTCTTCCGGAACTCTTGCTGCCGCTGCTCCCACTGCTCCTGCTGCTCCCTCTGCTGCTGTAGAAAGCCCATGTCTCTCCTCAATTCCACCAATCCCTTCCTTTCCTCCTGCTCCGACCCGCACCGACTTCAACCGCACTGCACTGGCTCTCTCCAGCAGCAGGCCACACCCGGAGCCTATCCGGCCGTGTCCCCCTTGCAGCTCCCTCACCACAGCTGCTTCCATGTCCCCCATGGCTTGCAGTGCGTCAGAGAGAGCACCGGTTATGCGGGAGAACGCCACCACACGTGCAGTCAAGGCCACAAGGGGGAGTGGCGGGGGAGCGGGAGGGGAGGACGGGGGTGAAGGGGACGATGGGTAGGGATGGGGGTGCTGGGCTGATGGGGAGGAGGAGGTGGTGGTGCTGGTGGTGGTGGTGGGTGAGGGTTCTGGCGAGAGTGTGGAAGATGGACTGCTGGGAGGTTGACGGGGTGAGTGTGTGGGTGGTGAGGGGGGGGGAGGAGGAGCATGTGGGTGTGCAGCAGCCATGGCGTGCAGTAGCTGCTTCCAAAGGTCCTCAACCGCCTCTCGGTCCCCCACTAGCCCTGCCAGCTGCCACACCAGCACACAGAGGCGGAGGGAGGGCCATACACAGGAAAAGCATACGAAAAGGGACGGGGGTTAAGAGAGAACTAGGAGGAGGAGAGCGAGATAGAGGTCTACCTTTTAGGCGCCCAAAAACAGACCAGGAAGGGAGGAAAGACTGTGGGGTGGGGGGGCACGGGAGCGAGGGGGCGTTGGAGAGGGAGGAGGTTTGCGGGGATGGATATGCAAGCATATGTTGATAAGGGCAAGGCTGACCTTGATGAGCTCGGTGTAGGAGATGGCATCGCAGGGCACGGCGCATTGCTCCATGAGCAGCACACAGCGCGCTGCACTGCGGCTGTCCCTGCCCCGCGCACACGCCGTCAGCACCACGTTGAACACCCCCGCACACAGCGCCGCACACACGGCTGATGGTGCAGCTGATGCCGAGGCTGATGCTGGCAGTGATGCTGATAGTGGTGGTGGTGGTGGTGATGGTGGTGGTGAAAATGGTGATGATGATGCTGTTGAGCGATGATGGTGGGAGTGCTGCGCCTGGCCTCTCCTCCCTGCGGTGATCAGCCTTCTGCTGCTGCCGCCCTGCTGCTGCCTCTGCTGCACGCGCATCTCAAGCCAGTTCAAGGCCTGAATGAGGGCAGACACACAGGTGAACAGATACGCAGGATATCAACGTTGACGGCTGTTCATGACCCTCGATACGAACCACTTGTGATGGAAGCGGGAAGCAGGAATGCAGAAGTGACAGAAGGAGCAAGGACGGACTAGAAGAGAGGTGAAGTGAAGGTCTAGCATCTATCACGGAGACCTTTGCTGTTACATCATGCACCCTAACGGCTCATTCAAGTGCTGCTACCACTTGAAGAACCCTGATCCACGAAACCCCCCCACTTGACCTGAGCACCAACTCTCGCACGCGCGCAGCCAACTGTGTGCGTGCTTACCTCATGCATCCTGCCGGCGTTGCACAAGGCGCGGAGGAACGAGATCTGGGCGCCCACCGCAACGGGCACACCGCCTGACAGCATCGCATGCATCACACGCTGCCCCACGTCTGCGTTGCCTGCCATCGCTGCTGCTCGCAGCACTCGTGCACAAAGCTGCCCCCACTCCCTCCTTTCCCTCCTTTCGCTCTTCTCGTGCCCACCTGCTGCTTCGTCCACTCCCTGCCCTCCCGCCCTCCTCCCTTCGCCTCCTCGCTCACTCGTCAAGCCTCTTTCACTTGGAACGCTCGACCTGCTCTGCTGCTCCTCCAACCGCACTCTTACCAGCCCCAACCCCTCCACACCGCTCCCCACCCCCGTCTGCACGCGTCTCTCTAGCTCCTCCAGCAGCAGACCCACTGCCTGCCCTCCACCCTCCCTCACCGCCCTTTCCCCTCCGTTTCCTTGTGCTCTGCCTTGCGCCATGCCTTGTGGGCTGCGTGCACTGGCCAGAGCGGAGCACAGGGCGTCAACCAGAGATGAGGAAGGTAGCGACGTGACACGTGCTGGGGTGGGTTGGGGGAGTATGTGGGAGAGGGCGAGGGAGACAGAGTGAGGCACGGAGGGATGGCGCAAGGGAGGCACGGAGAGACGGCAGGATGGCAGATAGGATGGTTGGGTGTTGGGGGTAGAGAGAAGTGGGGGGGGAACCGAGGGCGGAGGGGGGGTGAAGAGAGAAATGCGAGAGGAGGAAACGAGGGGAGAGGACGGAGGCGAGAGAGGGAGAAGGGGGGGAAGAAGACCGATATATAGGAGGGGGGAGGGGAGCGAAGCAGAGAGTTGTAAGGACGGATCCGAGGCAGCATAAGCACGTCCAAAGAGGGGAGCGATTGTAGACACCAGTAGAAGCTAGAGCGGCAGGGGTTGGGGAAGGGGGGGGTGGGGAGAGGGAAGAGGGGGGGGGGGGAGGGGAGAGGGGGGGGGGGGAGGGGAGGGGGTGGGGAGAGCCAAGGAAGGAGGAGGTTACCTTGTGACAGGGGAGCCGTGCTAGGGAGCAGGGTCGAGTTACGTGAGACGAATTTGGAAGGATAAGCGGTTGGTGAGGAGGCGGGGGCGGGTTCTGCAGCTACTGCGGATGCTATCGTTCGTGAGCATGATGCTGACGCTGACGCAATCTGAGGGTCGGGAGAAGGGAAAGACAGGCCAGGTAATGGCACGCATAGGGGTGTGGCGGCTGGAATAAGGTGCTGGTAGAGCAATTGTGCTGAAGAGCATTGAGACGGTGGTGGGGAATCCGTACCCGTGTTGGAAGCTGCCACGTGGCAGGGGCGTTCCTCGGAATTGCCGAAGGTGGTTGTGTGGCGAGTAGGGAGGACCAGGTGAGGGAATGCGCTTGGCGGAGACGAGGCACGAGGCGGAACCTCGAGATTGCCGCGCTGATAAGCAGTGAAGGTGAGGATTCTCTCGAGACACGATGCGGCCGGCCATCTCTTGCCAAACCAAATACGCCACGTGTATAAAATCGAGTGATCTGATCTGGGAAGTTTCGAGCGACGAGAAGGGACGTGGCCTGGCGTACGAGCAGTACAGATCGCCGTCGCTGAGACGTCGACGCCATGCTGATGTGCCTGACGCGACTGGTGAGTCTCTCGCGTCTCTGGCGTCGTCTCGGCGTGTGCTCTGCGTTACTTGCTCCTGCTCACCCCTCTCCCCTCCCAAACCCTTCAGCCACCTTCCCCAGACCTCGTCTGTTCCCACTGGCTCCTGCGTTACTCGCCCTTTTCATGACCAGAATCAGTTGCCCGAATCGCGAATGCATCTAGAAAGTCCCCTCGGTGTCTTTGATCAGCGCGGCCCCGCGTTGTCGTGTTCACAAAATGCCCTGCGTTTATCCCTGTCCTGCCGTCATGACAGTGTGGATCCAAAAGCCAGGGCCTGAAGCCCGTAAGCCAGTCGATGCGGGATGCTCCCACAGGTATTCATCTTGCCGTAATTCGATATTAGGTAACGAAGTGTCAACAAAAGTGAAAACTGCTAGTCCAGGCGCCTCCTACATAGCGTGTGCACAAAATTTACCATTGTATCATTGTGTTTGCAGGAAAACAATTTGTCCTGCTCCTGTTGAAAAATGATAATATATCTATCATATGTTGTATATCCGCTCTGTGCCACGTTGTGGTCAGGGTGATTGACCTAACTGATTATAGCTGGTATATAAAGTATAGCTTATAACAGAAAACGGTTCATCCTGGAGAAATTAAAGCACGAGTGCAACCAATTTACCGCACACACGAATTGAATCCGACAGTGAACTAGACGGAGATATATCCCAACCAATGGTTAGTATCCCATGGTCCTAGGGATGACTGATGCGATTACGATGGGCTTTTGACGAACCCAGTCCCTTACCGGCCAGGATCGACGGTCAGCAGTGCGCCCCGTCGTGTTACCCCTTTCTGCTAGTCAAACTCCGCCCTCCATTTCCCCCGCCCCGCCCTTGCTTGTACTGTGGATTCTTTGGTCCATCCTTCCCTCCGCCACCTCCCCAATCAGCCCAACCATCCAACCACCATCAACTGCTCGCCGTTCTCCCCCCCCATTCCCCCCCCCTCCCCTGCTCCCCTTTTTTCCCACACCCAACTAAGGGCGTGTTACATTTTCGATTTTTCCGTACGGTCCGGACATTAACCACTCTGAAACAAACTGAAACCCACTTGAACAAAGCGTTTAACAAAAAAACCGATTTTAACCGTTCAGACGGTCCGGTCCGTTTGGAAAAAAACCGAAAATGTAACACGCCCTAACACCTCACAGCACCTCACAGTAGCACCCCCGCTTCGTTCTCCCATTTCACATCCCAACCCATACCATCTTGCCCCTCATCTGTGGATTATCACTTCCTCCGCAATCGCTTGTTGTAGAAACTGTCTGGCCTTGACTGTCTGGTTAGATCATTGTGAACGTACTAGTCTGCTCTGCAGGTCGCTGCTCACATCCCGGTTGGGACACAAGACTGAGCGATTAGGTTGTTGGCGGTGTGGATAGTGCCTCAGCTGTTTTGTCAAAGTGAGTAGCGTTTTCGTTCTTATCCCATCTCCTCTTTGTCGTTTTTCATGCTGCTCCTGTAATCGCATTCTCGAGCGCTCATTTTCGTTATTTTCTCTTCTCCTTTAGTATACCAGCCATCCTCACTCATTGTATCGTATCTGTTTCCAGGCCAACTATCTCTTGAATAACCGAGGTTTCACCTTAGCTTGCATCAGAAGAGCTCTTAAGAAGGCTGTCTGACTATCAGTCGTGGTAGGCCAATATGCCAGGCCCTTCGGTTGCAGACGGCCAAGCAGCAGACAGTTACCTCTTTAAGCTGGTCTTGATTGGTGACTCTGGTGTGGGCAAGACAAATTTGGCATCCCGTTTTGCCCACAATGAGTTTCACGGAGATTCAAAGGCCACTATCGGCGTGGAGTTCCGTTCTAAGACAATGGAAATCGACAACAAGGAGATAAAAGCCCAAATTTGGGATACGTCAGGGCAGGAGAGGTATCGAGCGGTGACCAGCGTGTATTACCGCGGAGCGCTCGGCGCGCTGCTGGTGTACGATATCAGCCGGCGTAGCAGCTTCGACAACATTTCGCAATGGCTCCGAGAAGTTCGAAGTGAGTGCGACAATTTTCTGAAATGTTTTTGCATTGTTCCTCTTTTCTTTATTTTATTTTATTTGCGAAGATCGATCCGTCGCACATTGTGAGTCATAATAGTTCGTTTAAGTCTGGGAATGGAGGGAAGTGGACGCGAGTCTTTGGGCCATCTTGTTATGAGCTGCCAACCCGTTACTTGAACGCATACGAAATGGTACAGGAGCAGCTGGGAGAACAGTCCCTCGGGAAACCTTGTTGTCATTTCTTCAGTGGTTCCTCGGCTCACATTGCTATGCGCTCCTCGAATAAAGTCTTTCCTCGCGACAAGTGAACTCTGGAAAGCGAAAGCAGAACAATTTCATCGTGTACCTGTCAAATTTGTAGATGGGTTGGATCTTCTGGAGATGCAGGTTTCAAACCTTGTTGAACCACGGTTGCCAACATTCCCCACAAACAGGCCAAGGGGACAACAACCTGGTGGTCATGCTGGTGGGCAACAAGACGGATCTCGCTCATTTGCGTGCTGTACCTACTGAGAAGGGCTTGGAGCTGGCTGAGCGGGAGGGCATGTTCTTTATGGAGACATCCGCCCTTGACGCCACTAATGTAGACGAGGCGTTTGAGACAGTCATTGCTGAAATTTACAACCACGTCAGCAAACGCCTTCCTTCTCATGGTAGGTGGCACCACTGACTGCGTCTAGTTGTGAATATGTTTCAGCTCAGCTTGGCTAAAGGTTGTTTCACAACCCTGCTCTAACTCTGTCCTTCCCTCCCACGCTCCTCTCCTTCCACATGTGTGCGACCTGTCTTGGTAGATGAGGAGAATGGGAAGCTTAACCTATCGGCCGGGAAGAAGCTGAACCTTCCTGATGATGGGAGTTCTAGGGGTGCGTGCTGCAGCAACTGGGGTTGATAGTGTGGTCTTTCACGGAGCAGTTTTGTTTCAGATAGGATAGTCGGGGTACACACTTCAGAGAGGCCTGATAAAATGACAACAAACCAGAAAAGAAACATGGCAGTTCAGTGAGGGTGTTATAGACAAGTTCTGACATTTTTAATTAATGGGACTGGATTCTGCTTAGGGTGTGGAGCTGTTGTTTTGGCCTGCTTGTGGTGTGCTCTTTGTTGGAAATCCGAATATAGTATAACGAATATTGTATGCCACTGTGCTATTTGGTTTTAGTGTAGTCCTCTTTATAAGCTTCCAGGTCCTACAATAATTGTGTGACAATTATTGTAGGGCCACAATTATTGGAGCCTAGCATTATTGGAGGGTAGAGGGTACAATTATTGGTACACCATTATTGGTGTGAATGGGTCATTCTGGAGGGGTAGCTGGATGCATATATACTCTGCTCTGTCACTTCTTCAACATCATTGGATCATTGAGTAATCTTTGAGTACTCATTGGGTCATCGTTCTACTTTTCAATGATCAATGCAAGATTCCTATCTTGTTCTTTTCTACAAACACGTTTCCGATACGCTGGCACTATGTCTTTCTAGCATGGTATCAGAGCTACTCTAGGGGGCATGCTGCCAAAACTGGTTGAGGAATTTTACTGGCATTAAGTTTGGAAAGGTACCTGCATACAGTTAGGGTACCGCACACCCGGTCTACGTTTTCGTACACCCGGTGTTCGCTGTTGGTTACAACTGCGCGTTTACCGCACACTTGGTGGACGGTTTTGTCAAGGTCATGGCGCACTTCGATGGCGAAGTGGATGCTGGATATGCGGCTTTCGAGGAAGCCATCTTGGCTCAGCACGAGCACCTAGAGAGCATGATTGCAAGGGCACCATCAACACTCCAAGCTTCATTAAGGGACAAGTTTGGAATGACAATCCAACCAAGGACAATGTTGTTGGAAACAATCGGTCCTAAGGGTACATTCCTGCGGGGACACTTGTGTCTCAATCCCCGTTTTCCCGAGTCGCGTCTGTAAATTTGCCAAATGTTGTGTCACAAACAACCAATGTATCGCGACTCTAGGCGACCACCAAGCGAAATGTACAGTTGTGCGCATTTGATTGGGTGACACAAATGACTGTACATCCCTTTCTTCAACCGCTTGGCTGGGGTGTGGTTTCGACGCGCGGGATTTTTTCCCGCACGAAATTGGCACTGCAGGCTGTCCAGGTGCATTGACATTTCGAGCCCCGTGCAATTTTTTTGAATTGACGAGTCGGATTACAATTCGTCAGCGACGTTAGCGCGTTTCACGCTGACCAATAAAAAATACAGTTATGGTCGCGGAAAGGCGACTCGCAATTGGGACACACTACAGTTTATGCTGTTTTTGTGTGTCACAAAGCGATTGAGACACTTGTGTCCCCACAGGAATGTACCCTAAGCGCCTCTGTCGTGTCGAAACACTAAGACACAAAAGAAACGAAGTATAACGAATCACCGGCGAGTCAACCCTCGGAGGTTGAAAGTAACTGTTGGAGGTTACGCGAAGGTCAGCGACCTTTGACCTGACAAATACAGCGCGACAGCAAGGACACACAACTGACTCGCTACAGAGCAGTTGCCCGAGTCGTCACTGTATCAAACCACAACAGCAATACAGTTATAACTGCATCTCTTCGTATTCCTTGTACTCATATATAAACCTGTATCCACCTGTTTTAATCAACTTAGGGTACATTCCTGCGGGGACACTTGTGTCTCAATCACTTTGTGACATCTAAAAACAGCATATACCGTGCCCTGTCACAAAAGCGGATCGCGCTTATGCGAGTCCCACTGTATTTTACATTGGTTGGCGTGAATTGCGCTTGTGTCGCGGACGAGTTACACGAGGCCCCGTCACATCCCGAAAATCGCACGCGTGTCGAAATCTCACACTGTACAGCATGCACCTGGACGCCCGAACTGGGCACGTTTCCGTGCGGGGATGGAAACCGCTCTGCCCGGGCTGACATATGACTGGTCCTTCAGCACACACGGTCACATCCCTGCCCGAATGTTTGCCCATCGTTCCAACCACACTGACAGCACTCTCCCGCTCCAATCTGTTCTTCTTCTCCCAACCCGAGCTTCCTCTTTCTTGTTGCGAAGTCTAGCTAGGGTCTTCTTTGGCACGCTGTAGCCATGGCCCGTAAGCGCAAGAGCGTAGCTAGTTCTGTTGACTTGTGCCCGCGGGATCTCGACGAGATCCCGTACATCGCTTGGATGAACAAACAAATCGCGGCCGGCCGCAAGCCCGCCGGCCCTTTGCCCGAAGGAGCGCCTGGTGCGGGGGACACCTCGTTCGAAGCCCCGCGCGATGTCCCTACCCGCGGACGCCGTCATGCCGACCGGGTTGCCTCATCCCGCGTCAACGACGATGCTGCCTTCGATGACGATGATGACGCCGCGGACTCTGATTACAACGAGTGCGACGAGGCCTGCGAAGACGACGCGGACTCTGGCGAGGAGCAGGACAAGGGCATGTCCCCCTCCGAGGATGAAGTTGACGCCGACGAGGACGCCGATGACGACGAGGACGCTCCCGAAGAGGCCCAGCCTGCGTCCCTGGCTCCTCGTCGCGGCCGTGCGTCTGCCGCTGCGGGAACCAAGACTGCTGCTAAGGGCGGGGAACCTCCGCGTGCCGCTGCCAAGACCCGTAACTTGCATCCTGTTAAGCGGAGCGTGTGGTCCCCCCGCGAGAACACAATCTTCGTGGCTGCGCGTTGGTTCATGAAGGACGAGCTCGGGCCCCTCCTCGGGAAGCAGGGCTCTCAGTACTGGGCCCGCCTCGCGCGTCACCTCGAGAAGGAGAATCCCGGTTGGGTGCGCGGTGTAAACGCGCTTCAGAAGCAGTGGCGCAATCTTGTGAACATGTACAAGCAGATCAAGAAGGGGGAAAAGGCGAGCGGCAAGGGTGCCGTGTGCAAGCCCCACTGGTACCCGTACATGGCGCTTTTCCAGAACAACAAGGCGGTGGGCAACCCTCACGCCGTCGACGGTGGCGGTGCGGCACACGTCAACGTGCCGTGCGGGGACGCGGTCCCGTCCACTTCGGCGCCCTGCACCTCTACGCCGACATTCACTGGTATGTATGTGTTGCATCAACGGTGGCACTCGCGGGGTTGTTGAATGACACATTTTGTGACAACATTTTACGCACACATTACATCATTAAAATGTTTAGGGTACATAACACCTCGTCTACTGTTCGTGTGCATCCACCGTGTGTGCAGCTCCGCCGCCACAGGGAACTCCTACATCGAAGCGCCCACGTGTGGCAGAGACGGCGACGATGGCCGCTGCAAAGCTGGTGTGCGAGACGATCAAAGGCTGCCACTCAGACGCCATGAGCAGGCTCGAAGGCCTCGTCCGCGCGTGGATGGATCAGGACGCGCGTATTGCTCGGGAACGCGTGCAGCAGCCCGCACCCTCCCCGCATGTCCGCGACGACATCCCTGCCCACGCGGACAACATGACCGACTCGCACGCCGTCGAAGGCGGCGACGACGGCTGGCTTCGTCGCGGGCAGGCGGGCGAAGACCCCTCTAACCCAGATGCGGGTGAGGAGGTGTGGGTCCGCGGCGCCGCCGAGTGAGGTAAGACGACTCCAGAGCCTCGCCCAGCCGCTTGCGCCTTTCACGAAGATTCTCTTGCGTGCATGGGTCACATGGCTCCCACATGAACTCTGCTACCGCACCACGAGTCCACCATGGGTCCCGGTTTCGGGGCAAGTTTGCCCACGATGCATTGACGCGCCTTACTGCGCCCATCATTTTGCACATGTTGTGCAGGATGACGCCACAAGACGCCCCTGCAAGAATGCGCCAGAGCTTGCAGTCATTGCGGCCCGCGAATAGACGCCACCGGCCTTTGAAGGCGCCGATGCAGCGCTCTACTGCCATGCGCGTTGCGCTTTGGCAATAGTTAAAGCACTGCTCCCAGTCCTCCATTAGGCCTTCACGGGGAGCATGTAGGGGGGTCAAGCAGAAGTCTCTGAGTGGGTAGGCAGCATCTCCCACTATTTGGTATGGCGCTATGTCGCCGTTGTACAACCTTTCGTGTAACGCGCTGTTCATGAACACTCTCTGATCGTGCGCACTGCCCGGGTATCCGATCAAATAGTCCCATATGATGCCACGCGCGTCGCACGTGATCTGCAACTGGACGGCGTAACAGGACTTCCGCGTGTAGTACTCTTGCCTGTGCCCCTCCATCCCCTTCATGGGTATGTGTGTGCCGTCTATAGCCCCCACTACCGCAGGTACCCCCTTGATGGCGCGGAACTCTGCGGCCATCTTGTCGAGGTCGTCGCGGGTCGGGAAGTGGACCCACTGCTGCTTGAAGACGGACGGGAAATGCATGAGGAGCGCGTCAACAAGCATGTGGCACAGGGTCTTGGACAGCCCGAACACAGAGGACAAGTCTACGAAAGACATGCCACTTGCGAGGTATTTGATAGGTACAAGGCATGCCACTTCATGACTGATTAGGTACCTGTCCACGTACGGTTGCATGTACTGCGTCATCCCGGCGACAATGTATTCGAGAATGCCACGGTTTATGCGAAACATATCTCTGAACTGATCCTCCCCCATGCCGTCCAGGTCCTCTAGCAGCAACTGGTATCTCCGCCGGCGTAGCCCAGCCCTTCGTTTCCGCTCTGCGGTACGGTTGGAGGCGCGAGAGCTGGATGACGAGGACACCTCGTCATTGAAGACGTTCGCCTCCAGCAAGCCACCGACCGACTTGGCGATGGCGTCCATGAATATGCTGTAGTAGAACGTAACCCATGCGACAAGTAGGCGCATGAGGAATGGCACCTCGCGGGGCGATGCCATGGTTGCTAGACAGTGGTGCAGTTTAGCTCTGTGATGCTTGCGTTTTTGTACTTGGAGCCGTGGTTGTATACATGCTGTTGTGTGTGGGGTGGCCCAAATTGCAACTTTCATTTCTGTGGCAA